TTAAAGTTATGCCACAGAGATAGGATAATCTCATTTTAAAAATAAAATGCATATTTTTGCTCCCCGCCCCCAAGACCATGCTGTTTCTACCTCCCCCCCCCCCCATTACTACTTGGGTGTTAGTTCCCAGTTTAACAACTTCATCTTCAATCCTTAAACCAACATGAGCAGATAAAGGGGCTGAGCCATTTTTGTCTTTGTGTTGATCGATCTTCTTTGCCTCAAAATACATAGCTCAGTTGGTTAGAGCATGGTGCTGATTACACCAAGGTTGTAATTACACACACACACAAGTTTTCCAAATTTTAACACATTGATCCAAATTATTTAAATTTAATACATTTTTTTTAAAAAAGGTTTCCCGCTCCTGTTACAAACATATGTCCATTGCTTCCATTGCATCCATTTCTCATGTGTAGCCTTTCCAGCACTCTGTTCCCAGACCTGGTTTGTAGAGATAATTTATTGCCATCATCCTTTGTCCATTCACATTCCACTCCTTTGAAAAATTCATTCCATTCTTCAAGGACTTGCTGGGCTATAAATAACTATATTTATAGCCAAGGTTGCAGGTTTGATCCCTGTATGGGACAGCTGCACATTCCTTTGTTGCAGGGGGTTGGACTAGATGATCCTCAGGGTCCCTTCCAACTCTACAATTCTATGATCTTATGCACTTGAAGAGAGAATTGTTCTGTGATTGATATTTGGATCAGTTGCTATCTTCAGCAAAGACTTCCTCAAATAAGATCATATGGGTCCAGAGATCTAATCAGAAGAACAGGCAACCAGAATGCTGTTGCCTATAATATGGACCCTTAGGTTCGTATTGAAGGCTTTAGCAGATTTAGATGACTGCCATCACTTTCCCCATTACTGCAGACATAGGCAGCAGTTTAAAGAAAAAAGCGTTGCTAGCATTCATGGCAGTGGCCTGTATCCAGCGAAGCAGTTCTGTTAGGACAAGGACTTCTGGCTGTGCAACAGAGCTTCCCTTCCTTCCCCAATCTCTGCGCCCTCCCCAAATCTGCTTTGAGGGCTTGGGTGGGAAACCCAGAACGGATTTATGGGGTGCATGTGGGGAGGAGAAGGAAGGAGAATTTCATTGCATAGGCAGAAGTCCTTGCGCTAATGAAACTACTTCATTGAATAAGGTCCAGAATGTTAAAAGCAGCAGCATCCAGGGAGCATTCAAGTTGCTCCCTAGAAAATCCATGCTACAGATGCCAGCAACTTGGAATATGATCTCTGAGATCATGGAACTCATCGCATGGGCTGTGTGCTTTGTAGAGAAAGTCCCAGAAAGGAGGGGGGGGGAGTTGATGGGAATGAGGGGAAATCTGAGTAGTATTGCTTCAAGTCTAGTCCACCCACATGCTTGTGCTGTGGTTGAAATAGCTTCTTACTGCTCATTTTGCCCCATTGATGAAGTGACTCATGAGATTGCATGTGCTTATCAAGTCGAAAGCTGACAATTTATGGGCAAGCATTTTATTATGGTACATGTTGTCTTGCTCCAAAATGGGAACCGCAGAATTCCATTGGTGCTCTGTGGGGAAAGAGAGATTGTGATGTCCTTGAATGCTGTTACAGTGGAGGTCAAATGATCTTTTGAAAGGCTGCGGAATAAGAAAGCAACTTCAGATTTCGTTAAATGGAGAGAAATGGAGCACAATTAGAGTCATTTCTAAAGACTTTCTATCAGGGCTATTAGAGAGCAGTGACACTTGGACATGCAGGCCAAATTAGAAAATGTACTCCAAATTCTAAAATTATAGGCTTCCTAATTATTTAAAGAATGAGGAAGTCTGCATTATTACTGTGTACAGCAGTCTCCATTTCATGGAAGGAATTACACCTGTCACTGACCCTCACAGAGCATTATACCCCATAGACCTTTGGCAAAGACCTTTTTGGTGGCTCAGTTCCCTTTGGGCTTCTTACATCATGGACAAGAAGAAAGTGGTCTTTTACAATTAATGTTTTATTCAGTTGGATCAGGAGTAAGGTGTTCCTAGTGTTATGTGTTCTTTTAGAAGGAAGCTGCCTTATACTGAATAAGACCATTGACTCATGTATCTCAGTGTTGTTTTCACTGACTGACAGTGGCTCTCCAGGTCTCCTAGAAAGCGCACCAGCTTGCCCCCATGATTGAGGGGCCCGGCACATGCAATGTGCTCGACAGCCATGCATGCTGTTGTCATGCACACACGCCGTACGACAGACTGATGTGTTGCGCATACAGCGCATGCTGTGTACATGCGGTGAGCACACATCACCATGGAATTTTGAGGGGCCCAGCCCCCTCCTTGAAAATGGGGGGGGGGCCTTGGCCCCCTAGCTCTCTGTAGGTGCCGCCCCTGTATCCTCTCCCTAACTGGAGATGCCAGAGAGTGAACATTGGATGTTCTACATGAAAATCAGACCCAAATCTGCAAAGTCAAAAACTACAGGTGTGCAATGGGATGAGTTGTACAAGAACCTGCAGAATTGAGGTGTCACTTTTTAAAGCATGCAAATATATATATATATATATATATATATATATATATATATATGTATAATTTAATCTCAATCTGTTCAGTAGGGCAAATCCTAAAGCACCAGTTTCACGTAGACAATAAAATATTCATATTCCTTTCAAACATTTATTTGTGCAACATTAATAAATTAGAAGACAGGAATATGACCTTGCCTCTCTCTGTTAATAAGGAGGACAGTTGTCTGACATAACAGAACCTCTAATATATCTGTAACAATGAATTTTAAGAATGTAGTACTCAGAGCTATACTTAGGTGGGAGGATGGGTTATCATATCTTATTCTCTTTCTGTGTTTCTTTTGAGGTCTGTTCCAAGAGAATAAAGTTTAGCCCTTGTGTTCCCCACATTCCTGTGGCATTTGCATAACCTAGTGAAGTGATTTGGGGGCAGGGGGAAATAGACTTCCACTGACAAGCAAGATTGTTTCCTCTTCAGCCACCATTGTCTGCTTGTTCGCCAGCCATTTTGCCAGAAGACTGTGGCCAAAGCATTTGACAATTCATCCCAATGACTGGGGTTCTCCACCATCAACCTACAATAGGGGTAGCCAACAGGAAGTGTTGCTGGACTCCAGCTCCCATCAGCCCCAGTCAGCATTGCCAGTGGGCAAGGATAATGGGAGTTGTAGTTCAGCAAAAGCTGGATGGCCTCACTTTGGCTACCCTTGACCTATAGAAATGGGTTAGCAGCCTTCCTCCCAGCTTTCGCCTGGGGGTGTTTTGTTCCCTTCCCATTTACAGGTAGGCCAGCAAAGAACTTAGATGTGAACAATAATAAAATACACAATATTACATGTACTGTTCCTGCAACCCTGGATCTGACCCATTGTGTATATGGGCTTTTGGTGCCCTAATTCCAAATATCTAAGCAGTCCTTGAAGCCAGAGGCCAGGCAGTTATGTTATTGTCATTTAGTCGTGTCCGACTGTCCGTGACCCCATGGACCAGAGCACGCCAGGCACTCCTGTCTTCCACTGCCTCCCGCAGTTTGGTCAAACTCATGTTTGTAGCTTCAAGAACACTGTCCAGCCATCTCGTTTCTGTCGTCCCCTTCTCCTTGTGCCCTCAATCTTTCCCAAAACCAGGCTCTTTTCCAGGGAGTCTTCTCTTCTCATGAGGTGGCCAAAGTATTGGAGCCTCAGCTTCAGGATCTGTCCTTCCAGTGAGCACTCAGGGCTGATTTCCTTAAGAATGGATAGGTTTGATCTTCTTGCTGTCCATGGGACTCTCAAGAGTCTCCTCCAGCACCATAATTCAAAAGCAGGAACTAGCAAGCCACTCCAGTATCCCTGGCAAGAAAACTCCATGGACAAAAACAACAGGAAGTTATAGTTCTTCCCAAAAAGACCCAAGCAGGGCCTGCTCCACCGTTCCCCCCTGGGCCCACACTAAAAGCTGCTTGTAGATAGATTATGCCTGGCTATGAAGTTTTAGGGAGATCAGGGCAGGGGAAGTGAAATTGCACCCACTGTGAAATAGGGACCTCCCCATGAAGTCTTGTCAAAAGCCCAAACCTCTACATCATTATTACCCATGTTTCCTGGAAGTTGTATTGTTGGTGCTTATGGTGGCAGCAAGGAACTATCTCATTGCTGAGATTTGGTGTTAGTAGGCAAATATTAAAATACTAATACCAAAATAGGCAAATACTAATTTATTTATTTTTAAATCATTTTTCTTGTTGGGGTGTGTGTCCATGCTTGCTTACACATTGGTAGAAGTATTTATTTAATGCTTAACCTTGGATTGCTGGTATCATTTAAATGCCTGTAATTGCAACTTCTGGAGCTGAGATAATTAATTGGTAGCTAAATGACTGATAAGTGATAATATAAAGAAGGAAAATATGAAGAAGGAAAAGGGAACTGATGGCTGTTAAGTATTCATGACTGGGCAGCGATGATACAGATCACTTAATTTCTAAAGGACTGTTTTCCGCCCTCAGATCTGTGCAACTTATTTTATTACAAAGTGCTCCTCTACACATTATTCCACAATCGGCCATGGTGATTGGGGCCAGCTAAAGACAGACACTGTCCTGGAGCAGAGTTCAAAAAGAAAGGCGTTTTCTGAATCCAATCCCATGCCATTTATAACACTTGAACTTCCTTTTAGGATCCCTTGAGTATTGTTGCAATGTGGGTGCTTCAAAAGAAGTAAAGTAGGTTCGGAATCCTTGTCAGATGACTGATCTAAATTTGACAGCTAATAATAATAATAATAATAATAATAATTTGTATGCCACCCATCTGACTGGGTTACCAGTCACTGGGTAGCTTCCAATGAATTAAAACACAATATGGCATTACTCAGTTCTATCTTTGTTTGAAGTTGTAAATTTTTCAGATACTTATAAATCTATTTTTTAAAAACAATTATTGAATTTTGGTTAAATATTCTGTGAAGCCAGGTGTCTACCTTCCCTCTTTAATCATGGGGGCCATTGATAGCCATGGCAGAAGTGAAGCTCTCCCCACTAATTAGTTCTACAGGAGTCAGGGTCAAACATGTCCACATATATTTTATTTAGGCAGAGGCACCCCCTGCCATGCAACACTTTACAGAAGACATATTCACCTGCCCTTCCCATTATGTCATATGGCCTTTCTTTCCCAACAGACCTTGGGCTGTAGTTCTAAATGTCTCTGAACAGGAACAGGAAGTGTCACCACAATGGTAAACGTCCTAGCTGCCTAGGGGCCAAGACTACAATGGAATCCATTGTGTTTGCTGTGGGGAGCAGAGACCTTAATGTGATCTGGGAGCATGCTCAGTGCTTCTGAGAAAGATTGGACTATGGAGAGTCCTAGAAGACTGCCATTTTTGTAATTTGCACAACATACTTGTTACTCGTTATTGTTCAAATAAGTTCATGATTTTAACATTTGGCCAACCTTTTATAAGTAGGCAGATTTTGATGGTGGAAACTTCCACCTACTTCATTTCAGGATTTCTTTGGAGCAGGGAGAGGCTGATTTTTAAGGGGTGGCATGTTCAGCTCTTGCGAGTCATCCACCTCTTTTATGCCCTTTCCAAGTAAGGGTTCAGAGCTGCATTTCATAATTAAAACTTAAGTACCTGTTGTGTTTGGAAAGCCTACACGTGGCTTTTGATAAACTGGTTAATGAACAATAAAGTTTAATTGGGTGTATTATTGTGCAGTACACATGAACATCTAAATGTAAGACTGAAAGCAGAGCGCAATGAATGCAAAATAATGCATGAAATTGAGTAACTTTGTTGCTGTTAAAATACAGCTTTGTCACCACACCCAGCCACCCAGAACTCAACTTTTTCTAGCCGTTCAGTTCTCATTAAGGAAGCAGTAAAGCAGGTTTTCTTCCCCTATAGATTAAAAATAAAAACATTTCCTGAGCAATTCAAAAGAGATTACTAGTGAATGTATATAAAAGTGTGTGTGTGTGTGTATAGTTATAACACAGGAGTGAAGAACCTGTGACCCTCCACATGTTTGGACTACAACTCCCATCCTCCCTAACTACTGGCTCTGCTGGCTGGGGTTGATGGCACTGAAGTCCAACAATGTTTGGAGGTTAATAGTTCCCCCATCCCTAATTTAATTTTTTTAAGTGCAGTACCAAACAGTGTTTCTAGGACTTGTTTGCCAAGGTTGGAGTCTCTGGGGCTTGGGGTACAAACCTCTGGGTCTGAGACCCAACCTACAGAACTACCGTAGACTGTGTCTGCTTGAGTCATAGAAGCATAGCGTCCTTGAGTCATTTTCAGGTGCAGAGGGGAACAGCAGTCCAGAACACCAGCCTCTGTGACTGGCCAATAGTAGCCTCTGGAGAAGGCCATGCCTGGTATTAAAGGGCCTGGCTTTCTGTATTTCCCTCATCAACAGAGTAGTTGATACCTTCGACTTGCTCCATCCATCTCAATAAATTTACCTCTTGGACTGAGGAACGGAGAACACGCCCTCTAGGTCTAATTTTGAGTGAGACCTTCCCTCTGGGTCTAGCCTGACCTCAACACCTACTCCTTTCACTCCAGTTAATGTTTCTTCCTTGTGTCCACCCAACATATTACTAAGTTTACCTTCACAGATTTACACTTTACATCCTTCTTCTTAAATACATGAGCAGCTCACAAATTGTATTTCACTAAGGTGCTCCATAACATGGGAGCTCCCAGTGATCCAGATCTGGACCACGCTGTGGCATATATCTCCAATACATTACGCCTTGTTACTTAAAATAATTACATAATGATTGAGGCTCAGGGTAGATGTCATTCTGGGAGATGTGTGGTCGTCTCTTGTGTGTATGTCTGTGTTTTAAAGGGTAAATGCAGCTGTGGAGGGACTTGGCTCAGAATGGGGCTGAAGCACATCGGGAAAGTGGATTTAATATTCTCCATTTGCTCTCTTTTCCCAATCTGAATTCTACCCTCCCTCGCTGCAACATGCTATTTGCCATAAAGGGAGAAAGCTACAGGTACCCATTTGGAAACAGTCCCATGATAGAGCTGTAATTGGGGGGAGGGGGTTGTTCATTGATTCATCAAGTTCCAGTTTTGCATTTTAAATTTGAATGAGAAACTTGTGAAAGTCAAAATATGCTCTATGTATTTATTATATTTGCACCCTTTGCTAGCCTGTAGGATCAGGGAAGATTTTCACACTTTTTCCAAATGCAAACACTTGCATCGCCAGGTGACTTGTCCTGGCTTTGGCAAGAAGTCCACGGGGCCTGATGGGGCAAGGAAGTATGTAGGGAAGCTGCAAGTGAGTAACCTCCTCCAGTTTGGGAGTGGCCTTTTATTCTTCCTGAGCCAGATTGCTCCTCCCACACTCTTGCCCACTTCTTGGAGAGTGAAAGGCCTTAAAGGGGCAGATTTGTGATCTGAGCACTCTTCCTCCTCCCTGACAACTCCCTCCAGCTCGTTACCTGTGCTGACAGGATGACTTGGGGTTGCAGATCCCTGGCCAGGAGGAATTCAGTACATTGAAGATTTTGGGGGGTTCAGATTCTTGGTGGCCCACAGCTCAAGGGCTCCCAAGTCAGTGGGCTTTGTCCGTGTCATGACATCAGGTCCTGGGTTGCTTTCCAGAACGTCTTCCATTGGTCTGATGGATCTGACCTGCCTCTTGTTTGCGTTGGAGCCCAGGCTGCTGCACAGGGAGGCAGCCCTGCCAATCCTTAAACTACTTGGCATTGTATGATTGTTCTGACTCCACACAGTGTAAAATAAAATGTTCACTTGTTTAGATATCTTTTTGTTCATCTACCAAATACCACTCAATGCTAAATACCATTCCATGCCAGCTGTCAAATACTGTCAGGTATCAGATGTCATATAGCATATTCAGTTAATGTTGGCAAATGTGAACTTCTTCTAGTGAATATTTCACACTGGAGTTTGGCAAGGGGTAATTTTTGGAAGCAGCTTTTGTTTCCATTTCTATCACGATTTCCTTTTTTGCCTGAAAGATGGCTGTGGATGTGGTGCTCTCCATGGTGCTGACTCTCCTGTCTTTTTAAGGTTGGCAGTCGCAGCATGCAGAGCCACAGTTGTGCTCATTGGCCAGGACTGGAGGAATGCTGGGGTGATATTATCATATTGCTCTCCCTCAGCTGGATGGAACACCAGGGTGCTATCATCACTGTCCTTGACCCCCGCAAAGGCTAAAAGAGACAGAAGCTGTAGAGCAGTACAGAAAACATGTGGGCTGATAATATGATTTAAAGTTCCAGTTGTAAAGGTTTTCACCTGCTGGAAACCTGGGATCCCTGTCACTAATGCATGTTAGGGGGCACATTTGGAAAGCGTTTAACTGATATTGCAAAAAGTTCGCTCAACCATACTTCACCCACTGTCCTTTTCTCCACGCTTTCTCTCTGTAGCAAGGATCCTCAGGCTCTTCAAATACTGTTAGATTGCATTATCCCTGACCATTGACCATTCTAGCTGAGGCAGATGGAAGCTGGGGTCAAACAATATCTGCAAGCCCACATGTTTCTCTTTTCTCTGTGTCAAACTTTGGAAAGAGATGCTTTTCTTCAATGTACACCCGAGCTTTAATGAAAAAAAAAATATTCATTTCTTCTCCAATGGATCTTATGCTTATGTGACAATATAAAATGGTTATTTAGCTGGAATTTTATGCCCTTGGTTGGAGAATGGGGGGAAAACCCCCTCAGCTATCCATTCTCTCCCCCCCCCATTTCCATTTGGCACACATACATTAGATCGATCTGTGTCCCAGACAGCTCTTTCTAATTGGGTCTCTGCTTCCATTTCTTATTATTATACTTTTAGCAGAATTGAAACTAGGGAGGTGGGGGTGGTCTGTCAAGACTCATTCAGTCAAATATATCACTGTGCCAGGAGCCAACCTTGGTGTATTCCCACCAAGTTAAACATGCAGTGCTGAGCTGCACTGAGGTTTAAAAAAAGAAATAAATAAATAAAAGTGCTGTAAGCTTGTCCCAGGTAATTTAAATTGTATGATGATTTCAGAGAGTTTGGGTGCTCCTGGGACCACTTTGTATGTTGCTGCAGTGGTACAAGAGCTGCTTCCCCAGGGCTTCTTCCTGTCCTGCCGTAGTTGAGTTAGCTCTGCCCATCGGCTTTCAGATAATGTGGGCTCTCCCCATCCATAAATAGCCCCCTTCTATCTGAGTGATGATCAAGAAACTGTTAATTCGTTTAAATCTAACGACCCAGCTGGTATGTTGTGAAGCCTGAGATGGTACTTGGTCACTCAACAGCAGCCAAGTAGGAGGAGGGCCCCCACATTCTTATTTCTGGGAGATGTGAGATTGTCACCAAGGAAGAATCAGAATCAAGTTAGTGTGCAGCTGTTGTATGGCATGTTGGATTGAACTACCACCTGCCACAGCTGCCACTACTCTCAGGTAACAAGGCTAGTCTCTTTCCTCCCTGATGGCCAGTCTGTAGTGGTGCTCAGCAATGACTGTAACAGTGTTGGAGCACATACATTGCCTGCAGAATACCTCCAGGTTCAATTCTGCCATTTCTAGTTACAAGATCTGGTCGCGAGTGATGGGAAGGACCTTTGCCTGAAACTCCTGAGAACCACTGCCACTCAAAGTAGGCACTGCTGTGTCTGGGTTAGAATAACAAATAATCTGACCTGGTATAAGGCAGCTTTCAACATTCCTAGCAGTGGAGATGGAGTAGGTGCCACAGATTCCGTGCCTAACCAGCTGCATCAGTGATTTAAAAGAGAGGTAGGTAGCCGAGTTGGTCTGCTGTAGTCGAAACAAAATAATATCTGAAGAAGTGTGCATGCACACAAAAGTTCATACCAATCACAAACTTAGTTGGTCTCTAAGATGCTACTGGAAGGATTTTTTTTATTTTAAAAGAGAGGGAGAGAGTTGCTGATCTGGTGTGCAGTCATGCACACATCAGGAGTAAGTGAAAGTTTGCAGCTGATCGACTGGCTAAAAGAGGCACTGTTCATCATATGTGGGTGGAACTCATAAAAGCTAAGTGAAACAAAATGGTATCGCTGTTGCTTCTTCCTTCCTCCAAATCTTTGCTTCAAATTTGCCTTTACCCTGACCTCTTAGTAGTCATCCTCAGCCACATCAAAGCCTCTGTGCATTTGCATTGACACAAATGCAATTTAAACTTTTCCTTCTTCCATTATCACTGTCACTGTTTAGATTGTAAGTTCCCAATAGCAGGGATCTGCTTGTGTTGTGCTGGAATAGTATTTTATTGCAGACCTAAGTCTTGCTGCCTTATAAAACTCCACAAAAAGACTTAAAAGACACATACACTGAAGGGTTATGTTCTGCGTTGTTTCCAGTCTAGGTTTCAGTTAAAGGTTGACACCAATGAACTCTCCTTTTGATCAACTAGTTTTGGTTGTTGGCCAGAGTGTTCCAGTCTTGAGCCTTGCTTGTCACAACACAACACGTATTATATTTTTATAGGTCAGATTTTAACTTTATTTAAACAAATTAAACATCTTCTTTAATTCTTACAAGGTTGATGGAGGGGATATCTATATATCTGTATCTATAGGCATTCTACTTGCATGCGACTGCAGGAGATAAATGAATAAAGAAAATCATACCAGAAAATGGTGGGAGACAGCTGGAGAATCCTCGTGGCTCACGAGGAGACCCTCCCTGGAGCCTGTAGGGTGCATCAGTGAGGTCAGAGGAAGCCCCAAAGAGACTAGAGGATCAGTGGGGCTTTGTTTAGGCTGCTCTGCCTCCCCGCCTAACAGCTGGTTTACGAAATAGCGCAGCAGCAGGAGCAGCTGCTCTCCCACATGTCCTCTAGTCTCCAGCTGGCCCCAGAGCTTCAACTCTAGATATCTGGTTCTGGATTTGAGAGGGAGTGGGAGAGAGAGCTGGAGAGCAGGGGAAAATACGCATTCAAGGCTTTTTGGAGGCTTTTTAGAGGGTGCTTCCCACTTTAAGCGATTTCACTTATGCATGCATGGACCTAGAATGTAACCCCATGTAAGTAAGGGGCACCTTTATATAGGCATACACCCCCCCTAAACAAGCCCCTTTGCCAAGCCTCAGAAGAATTCCTGAATGCCTCAGAGGACTTTTCAAAGACGCTGGCACTGATTCAGTTTTGAATCAATTCGTAGAGCTTTTACAGAGAGCAAGGATAATTAACCTCTTTAGCTTTGATCCCTGTGGTAAACATCCTGTAAAAGTATAGTACCTCTTTTTATTTGGGGCATACTGAGAACCTGTTAAGTTAAGTTTAATAGATATTGGGCTAGGGTCCATACGCAATGTAAACTAACGAAGGACAAATATTGTAATAAGTTGCATCGGTAGAATAAGCCTGCTTAGTTGGCTGCTAAGCCCACTGGTGAAAGTTCAGCTTTGAGTTTCTAAGGCCTTTAGGCCTGTGATTAAATGATAAGCGATCTGAGCTGCATTTGATAAATTAATAAATATTCTACCACGTTTCTTGGCTCTTTAGTAAGGGTAGAAGTTTGGATGTCTTGCCATTTTCATTCCAGGATGTAATTCCCTGAAACATTTCACTGTTCTTTAATTCTTTTTACTGGCACATTGCCTCACAAATATTCAGAACTGGAGAACAGGAGCTTGGCCCATATTTTGCAAATGTGTACTTGATTTTTTATTTACGTATCTAGTAAAATGCAGGATATTTAGATGTAGTTACAGGTAGTCTGCCGTAGTCAAAACAAACAAACAAAATTCCTTCCAGTAGCATCTTAGAGACCAACTAAGTTTGTTACTGGTATGAGGTTTTGTGTGCATGCACACTTCTTCAGATATTTAGAGTTAGTCGTGATAAAAAAAAATGCATGGGATTGGCGTTGGAGTTTCACTTCCCTCCCTTCCTCCATTCCCATCTCTGTTTTGCTGAAACCATTATTATGGGACGCGGGTGGTGCTGTGGGTAAAACCTCAGTGCCTAGGACTTGCTGATCGTATGGTCGGCGGTTCGAATCCCCACGGCGGGGTGAGCTCCCGTTGTTCAGTCCCAGCTCCTGCCCACCTAGCAGTTCGAAAGCACTCTTAAGTGCAAGTAGATAAATAGGTACCGCTTAATAGCGGGAAGGTAAACGGCATTTCCGTGTGCTGCGCTGGTGCTGGCTCGCCAGCTGCAGCTTCGTCACGCTGACCACGTGACCCGGAAGTGTCTTTGGACGGCGCCGGCTCACGGCCTCTAGAGCAAGATGAGCACGCAACCCCAGAGTTGGACACGACTGGCCCGTACGGGCAGGGGTACCTTTACCTTTACCTTTTATTATTATAAAAGATTTTCATCTGGGCTGAGCTGAAATGACTCAGTATTCTCCCACTTTCCCTTTTTCCTCACATTGAAAAATGCCTTCCTTGTTTGACTTTCTTTTTTTTTTTGTATATTTCAACTAATATTTTGATTGACACTATCCTTGGGGAGCACTGCAGTTCTTTTCTTGAAAGTCCACACTACAGGGGCTGCTCTCTTTCTTTTTTAAAGTTTTGTTAATGATTTCCCAACATACATTTTACATACATTGGATTTCAAAGCAGGCACCACAATCCAACACCCAAGAACCCAAGATTAGAGTTTCCCATAGTACTTGTGTTCCGGTGGGTGGGGGTGGGAATCTACAGCAACATCTCAGCTGTCCTCGTTCCAGACTGAATATTAGGATGGATGGAACCATATTAATGTAGCATTTGCATGTTTTTGCCAGCAAGTAATTGCCAGTAGTGGACACACTTGTGGGATGTGGAAACCTATGAAAGAATTCAAGTTGTTCCTTAGAGATATTTCTTATCCCTGGATATTTGGGTGTTCAGGTGTTCAGGTATTTGAGTAAGTTACAGCTGAGAGTAACAGGAGAAAGGTACTGAAAAAATAGCACAAATTGCTGCTGCTTATTATTGCATTTATTTTTATTAATTTAACAATTTGCTTATTGCCAAGCATTTCTTGGGCTCCATGATCACTGCAGATGTTGACAGCAGCCACAGAATTAAAAGACGCCTGCTTCTTGGGAGAAAAGCAATGACAAACCTAGACAGCATCTTAAAAAGCAGAGACATCACCTTGCCAACAAAGGTCCATATAGTAAAAGCTATGGTTTTCCCAGTAGTGATGTATGGAAGTGAGAGCTGGACCATAAAGAAGGCTGATCGCCGAAGAATTGATGCTGGAGACTCCTGAGAGTCCCATGGACTGCAAGAAGATTAAACCTATCCAGCCTTAAGGAAATCAGCCCTGAGTGCTCACTGGAAGGACAGATCCTGAAGCTGAGGCTCCAATACTTTGGCCAACTCATGAGAAGAGAAGACTCCCTGGAAAAGACCCTGATGTTGGGAAAGATGGAGGGCACAAGGAGAAGGGGACGACAGAGGACGAAATGGTTGGACAGTGTTCTTGAAGCTACTAGCATGAGTTTGACCAAACTGCGGAAGGCAGTGGAAGACAGGAGTGCCTGGCGTGCTCTGGTCCATGTGGTCACAAAGAGTCGGACATGACTAAACGACTAAACAACAACAACAAAGCATTTATCTCTTTGTTGAGAGTATATGTTTTTCTATGAGTATGATGACTATTTGATTTAGTCTCATATTTGAGGAAGGGCCATAACTCAGTGGTAGAGCATCTTATTTACATGCAGAAGGTTTCTGGTTCTACCCCCCAATGACTCTAGGTAGGGCTGGGAATTGACCCGGTCTGAAGTGTTGGAGAGTCACTGCCAGTCAGTGTGGACACTACTAAGCTGGATGGAGCAGCTGCCTATTTTCCAATTACATAAGATGCTTGACGAGCTCCTTTCAAACATGAGAAAATTCACTGGCAGCATTTGATTACTTACATGCTTCTGCCTTTGCATTGGCCTCTGTGCAATGAGCCAGGGCTGTATTGCACAGCTTTTAATGCAACGAGAGCAAGCTGTGTGCAAAAGCTTAAATATCAGCTCCTTGGAGATGGAGTATTGTTGGTGAGACAATTGAATTGTTACAAGTTGTAGACATGGCAAAGGGACTTGGATTTGCAAGCTTGTTGTTTTTCTGTCAACACCGAGACATGAAATGCTTCATTTGACTGAGTTTCTGTATTTGGTTTTTACAAGCTGTGAGGGAGAATCATACCTTAAGGGACAAGGAATTAGAGCCTCTTGCCCTTCCGATTGCTGGTTCAAATCCAGCTCAAGTCAGCAGAGAGTTTTAAAATGCTACCATTTCAATGGGTTCTTTGAAGCAGAGAAGGCGGGTCAGCTCTCGAGCCTGCTTTTTAATCTCTATGTTACATATGTTTCACAATATTGTGTGCTGGGGTTTCTTATATAGGAATATGGGAATTTAGCTCTAGCAACTAGAAACTGTGTCTGAAAACACACACAACAAACTATTGATTTGTTTTAAAAATATTTTAATTACATTGTAATAAACAACAGAAGTGAAAGCAGGTAGGAGGAAAAGAATACAACCAAGTTGCCATTCTCTGACATAAATTTAATATACACCCATCACTGCTTTCAGGAGAGAGTGTTATTGATTGTACCCCACTAAAAGAGGCCACAAGGCCACCTTTAAAATTAAGGGCCAAGTAAAGAGAAAAGCCATTGCCTGGTGCCTACAAATAGAAAAAAGATGGCGCCAAGCATGCCTCCCTGAGGAGAACATTCCACTGAAAAGGCCTTCTGGTGGGGGCACACAAAGAAAGGCTACCTGTATTATCTTCATTATCTGTATTATCATGTTGTCTGTAACACATTTTCCAGAACGGAATGACTTCACTCCATTCAGCACTCAGGCTCCATATTTGCTGGAACAGATAACTGACTAGCCACATTCTCTAATTCCTTACAATATTTATTAATTCAGTTAACCTGGCAGTTAGGAAACTGGCCTCGCACCAGGCTAGCCACTTTATGAAGCCTTTCTTCAGGGACTCAGGAAGAGATCTTTCACATCACCACTTTCTGAAACCAGAGATGCCAAGGCTTGAACCTGGAGTCTTCTAGATGCAGATCAGGTGCCCTATCACTGAGCTATATACTCCCTGCCCAATAGTTCACCATCCAGTCATCTTGTCCATGCTACGGACGCACCCCTGTGACCATAAGTACTCTGCAGGTACGAGTTTGTATGTTCTCTGGTTTCGGGAAGGTTCTTCCTCAAAGAAGATATTCTGTCAAAATGTTTTGGGCAGTTGCACTTGTATTATCAAATTCAACAACCTGCACCTGTTTCAGAATGGCTTTCTTTCTTTCTTTGCCCCCCCAAAAAAGAGAGAGTAAGCAATGAGAATTGGAGAAGATCAGCAAAATGCAGGAGAGTTGCTTGATTTCATTGGGAATTACTTCTAAGTAGGCTTAGGAATGCATTTCTGTACAGTATGCGCTGATGCTGTAGATGAAAAGCGAGTGACGGGGGTGACTGGCCACAAAATTGTAAGGATATATAATCTTGCCTCTTTGCTCATATCGGTATTCTAGGAATTTAGGAGGGAGACACTTGTGCCTGGACTTCCTTGATAATCAGTTTCTTTGCACTCTCTTGTTTTTTCCATGCTAAGCTTTGCCTTCTGCTGTTAATCTCATGAATAAATGCATGGCTCAGTTTCTGGTTGTGTCGCATTGTACTTCCTGTGTCAGTTAAGCTGGATTTACCTCTCGGAAGATGAACCTTTGGACGTGTGAATCTCTTATTCTCAGAAGGAATGGCATCAAAAATTTATTATTCAAGGATCAGTTTAATACATTTAGAAGAATCAAGTGAAGAAGCTGCTTCTGGACTCTACTACTTCAAGCAGAAACAGGAAGGTGGCATCACCAAATCCTCCTGTAGACTACAACTCACATAATCCCTGGCCATTGGCCATGTTGGCTGGGGCTGATGGGAGTTGGAGTTGGAAGGCCAGAAGGTTCTCCATCCCTGGTCTATAGATCTAAAAGAAAATGAACAAAATGGGGAGACAGATTCAGTGTGGCCTTCTGCTTCTTAGGACATTCCCCCCCCCCCCCTGTTTGTAGGGATGGTTTCTTTTTTCTTCTCCTTACCATGGTGGGCATTCTAACACACCACAATGTCATCACCAGCCTGAAGTGATACAACCCAGGAGAAGCTTTACTACTTGAGTCTGCCCCTAATCTTAATACTAGTGTTAATTGAGAGATGTGTTATTATTCTTAGAGGTGCAGTGTATTTATTGTCTGACTGGGCTCCCCTTCAATAAATTTATCTTTATTTCCAACACATTTCTGGCCACTGATAAATAAATATTCAATACCAGCCAACTCAATAAGTCAGTTCTTTTGTGAATATACAAACAGGAAAGAGCAAAAACTGAGCAGGGAAGCGAGGGAGCTAGACTACTGCGTAATATTTTATAGGATTTTGACAAGCCAATAGTTGGGCAACATAGACAAGTGGCATTAGGAAACTTGTCTTGGGAGTTTGATCTTTTAGCTTATCATTTGTGGATAGGAAACATCATAATTTCTGTCTATCAGGAATGGCACCTTCTATTATTACCAATATATATGCAAGGGAAATAACAGAAAGATTCTGAACTGCAGAGTGAAAATCTATTGTCTGGATAGGGCTGGGTCCTGCCCTGCTTAGTGTTCAGAGGTACTCTTGGCCTCAAGGCAAATAGTCGCAGCCATGGAAGTTTTACATTAGAGCTACCTTCATGAGGGTTTTAGTGTATGTAATTGACAGACACACTCAGCAGTTACAATGAAAAGGAGGGGGGAGAGAGAGAGAGTCAAGTGGCAGAGCCCACAAAATGGTTCAGATCTACAACTCACCACAGAGATGCAGTGACATAAAGAGCATTTTTGAGAGTTAATACAAATCGAGAACTCTCATGTTGATGGGTGTGACCATTTAAAGTCTGAATAAAGACATGAAGTGTGAGCAAACAAAAGGTAAACATCAACCCTTGCACATGTAGAAAAAAAACCAGGAAATGATTCTTACCATACTGCCTCTCCCGGATTTCATTATATGGCTGGTTCTCTTGCCAACATGGCGGGAGTAATTTTCAGCCATTCATTCATCCCCAGTAAGCCATGCTGGGGAAATGGTGAACTTTTATGAAATGTAAACAACCATAAGAAAATTATGCTTCTGGATTGGGAAGCATTGAAGCAAGTAGTACATCAGAAGCTGCCTTCGACCAAGTCAGAGCATTCAATCTCTGTATTTTCTACACATCCTTGCAGCAACTGTCCAGGATTTCAGACAGGGAGAGGCGAGTGGGTGAATGGAGATGTTGGTATTGAGCAGCAAATTGACCAAGGTGAGCCCATATCTGGCTCTGACACCTTTCTTGCTTTCCTCCTGTTCAGAATGCTGGGAGCGCCTTGATAACTTTTGCTTTGCCTTACCTGGAGAGCACTATTTTTGCAGGAATTTACGACTTCGAATTGAACATAGTGAATCTGTCACTACCAGTAAATTTTGTCAGTGTTGTGAAGCATCTGAAATCATTGCAGCATGGCTGGAAGATTCAGACATAGTTTGTTGGCTTATTATACCAGCTGCCCCTTAGGACAGTCTAAGGTTTCCTTCCTTCCTTCCTTCCTTCCTTCCACCCTCCCTCCCTCCCTCCCTCCCTCCCTCCCTCCCTCCTTCCCCTTTTATTATTTTTATTTTTATTAAAAAAAACACATGCAAAAATTGCCTGTGGCACATTCTGCAAGACAGGAAGGAAATGACTTTGCCATGACCTCTCCTGTAGCAGCCCATGCGATAAATAGATCACAAAGGGCTCAAGTGTGTCTTGTATTCAGAGAGACGCATTGTTCACATTGCAGACAAAATGTTCCGCCGTTCATTCATATGCTGGCAGTGTGCATTTCCACTCCCCCTCCTCTCTGTTAAAAGTAATAAAAAGGGAAGGAAAGTGTAGCATCACGTACATTACTATTCAAGCTCAGTCAGTGTGGGTAGCTGACGCCTTGCTCACTGAAGCCGTCATGCATGCTCATCTCATTGGAAAGGATGCCTTATTAAAGTGTATCACTAAATAAGAAAAAAGAATAGTTGAATAATAACCAAGTATTAATAGGTAAGTCAAGCTGCAGAAGACCAATGAGCTTTCTGGAGGTTGGGTCATGCTTGAGTCTGAGAAGTACAATACTGTTCCTTTTCTTCTGTTTTCTTCACTTGGGCGTGTCTTGCTCCTGGGAAGCACCAGTTTGCAGACCAGAAGGCTTTGTGGAATACAGGGATGAACAACATGGTCACACAAAAAGTGGGTGCTGGCTGTACAAAACAACCTATGAGAGTATTGACATCTTTTGATTTCAGAAGCGCTACCCAGCCCAGGCAGGGATAGGGTTTGAAGGTGAAGCTTGAGGAAATCAAATGGACTAGAGATGGAGCCAGGAATGAACAGGTTGACACTTGACAGAATATTCTTGCTCATGGGCAGAATAATAATAGTAGTAGTAGTAGTAGTAGTAGTAGTAGCAGTAGTAGTAATTTATACCCCGCCCATCTGGCTGGGTTTCCCCAGCCACTCTGAGTGGCTTCCAGCAGAATATTAAAAATAGAATCAAACATTAAAAACTTCTCTGCAGTTTGCAGTTTAGTGGATTTCCAGACCCTAAAGGTTATCTGACACAACAGATTGGACTGGTAAAACCTTGGCTGCTTGGTCACTGTAATAATATCATTTCAAACAACAACGTGATCATAATAATTGCTTTTATGGTTGATTGCAGTGTAAATTGGGTAAACTAGTTCAAAGGAAGTGGTTTCAGGGACCATGTATGTTTTCTTATTTTGATCACTTGTACTTGATCAGTAGTTGTTTTGTTTTTTAAAGATTGCATTTCAAAGATCCTGGACTGCATCCTGAATGGAATAAGGAACATTTATTTATTTATTTAGTACAAGGGTGATCCCTTTGGGAACTCTTTGCCGGGTTAGCGTAGTCTGAATGGGAATTCTTCTGAACTGGCAATGAATGCTGTTAGTATATGCCAGTGGGGGAAAATCAGCAATTAAAAATGATTAAGTAAGTTTAAATATTTATCAAGGTAATATTCATTATGCAGAATAATAATATGGTGGAAGCACTTCAGCAGATTTTAATACATTGCCATAGTAACTTGCTCTAATGTTGAAAATAGTTGTACAAAATGCCTTTTATTGGTGCAATATTTGTAATAGGGTGCTTTGCCATTTGTTGCTTTCAACGTGGGTGTCCTTCAGGAGCAATACATGGGAACTGGAATGTGCTTCCAACAGCAGTGAAAATGGGCTCATGGATTTCATTTTTGGATGCTTCATTTGCTTTGAAGATTAGTTTGGGTTTTTTTGTTTTTTTGTTTTTTGCTTTACATCTTTTCCCTCTTTCCCCCCCTAAAGCATAGTACTGCAGCACTGTGATTGCAACATAGATCTTTCTGTCTTATTGCTGTGCATTAGTCTGCCATTTCCTCTGTTGCAAGGAACGGGTACGAGGAACAAGCAGAATAAGCTTCAAGGAGCCCTACACCTCAGTCCAGATACGGAGAATATGCCCATGAAATAAATAAACTTTTTTGCATGGATCTGTTGCTGCTTTAGCAAGAGCCACATTCTAAACAGTGGTGTGTGTGTGTGTGTGTGTGTGTGTGTGTGTGTGTGTTACTACAAAGCCCAATCCAGAAGTCAGTCCTGCATTCATAGCTGCAATCAAATAATTAGAAATCTATCATGCAAATGAGAGAGGGAACAATGGGACTGGTTGTGTTGTTTGCATTAAATTGTCACTTTGAGATATAAATTGGTCTTGCAATGCTGAATCTCCTTTATAACAAATGTGTACTGCTACCACTGGCCATTGAGCTGGACCAACAAATTTGAGCTTTGCAGATTCCTTTATGAAGTGACCTCATCTGCACCACTGCACCGAACAGAAATTGACTTAATCACTAGCTTTTGCATTTCCCAGATGTTCCAGTGTTTGAAATGAGTACAAATACATTTCAAAACACAAATTTTGAGAGAAGATGCTGAGCAAATGTTTTAAAATATGAATTTTCCTGCAGAATTTTTGAAGTAAAAATTCAAGGTTAATGCAGAACTGAGATGGGACAGACTGATGGGTGAACACTTGTGAAATGGACACGGACTGGGAATAAATTGATTTGGCCACCCTTCATTTGGCCTATGTCCACAGAACCATGGCTAATGGGTTGGATCTTGCAGCATCAGGAACTAAATCTATACAGTTGGATTAACTCTGGTGAGTGGAATGCTGGTATTGGACCAAGGTGACATGGGTTCTCACTGTGTAGTCTTCAGCAAGTCACTTCTTTAGCAAATCACCTTTTCTGCTCACTGCAGGGGTGGATGGGGGCTGAGCGTGCGTAGCAATGTACACAGAGACATTGGGGTGGGACGTCGTTTTGCACCTGCTCCCTGTCCAGGGAATCATCTTGTGTAGATCAGGGGTAGCCAATGTGGTGCCCCCAGATGTTGCTGAACCACAATTCCTGGTCACTGGCATTGCACGCTGGGACTGATGGCAGTTGTGATCCAAGAACATCTGAAAGACTCTAGGTTGACTATGGCAGAGGAGAGAGGCAACTCAAGCAGTTGCCATTTTGGGCCACTGGCATGTATCGTTTGTAAGTTCTAGCCAAGCCATTAAGTCACTTCCATCACTCTTGTTTCCTTAAATCATAGGGCCATGGTAGCTGCAGCTCCAGTCACCTTCCAGTGTTCTTCTCTTGTAGTCAACATGACCAATATCTTGCTGTTTTGGTCTTTCAAAAAATTACTGATAAAGGGAAATGTACGATATTGCAAACAAGGGACACGGGTGGCGCTGTGGATTAAACCACAGAGCCTAGGGCTTGCCAATCAGAAGGTTGGTGGTTCGAATCCCCGCGACAGGGTGAGCTCCTGTTGCTGGGTCCCTGCTCCTGCCAACCTAGCAGCTCGAAAGCACGTCAAAGTGAAAGTAGATAAATAGGTACCGCTCCGGCGGGAAGGTAAACAGTGTTTTCGTGCGCTGCTCTGGTGGGTGGCTTAGTCATGCTGGCCACATGACCCAGAAGCTGTATGCCGGCTCCCTCAGCCTGTAAAGCGAGATGAGCGCCGCAACCCCAGAGTCGTCTACGACTGGACCTATTTACGATATTGTAAACCCATGCTGTTATCCTCATGATTAAAAGCAGGATAATACATTCAAAACCAGCATAGGGCCTATCAGCTGACCACTTCTCCCCTTTTCTTTACAGTAGTGAAGTGTACTCACTAACCTGTTCTTCTGCAAAAATTCTAGACGTCAGTTTGGAAGAGGAGGCAGAGGAGCTGCTCCATAGGAGTCTGGAGGAGGCCTCAATGTTTTCAGTACTTATATATTTCTATGGGTTCTCAATATTGTTATGGGATGCAGCAGGGAATGTTTGCAAGGAACTGCAAGCTTTATCTTGATCAGAACATGCCTTTGAAATCTCTTGAACTGTTAGAACTTCAAACTGTTTCTTCTTGTTGCTGTTTTGTCCAGCTGCTGAAGATGCTATACAACCCTGCTTGAGGTCTGTTCAGAGAGGCATGCGTTTGCACACACATACACATATAGCTGCCGGATAGCTCAGTTGGTAGAGCATTAGATTATTACTCTCAGGCTCATGGGTTCAAGCCCCACGTTGGGCAAAAGATTCCTACATTGTAGGGGGTTGACCTAGATGATCCCTGTGGTCCCTTTCCAATTCTATAAAGAATCATAGAATGCTGGTTTTGAATGTATTCTTATTGCGCTCATAAATTATATTTGTTGGTTATGTTTTCTTGCACTGGATTGGCCAGTGCAACCACGGATGAGATCCACGGTTCAGATCAGACTGAACCGGTCTACTATTGGTGAAGAGTGGTTAGAATATCACTCCCTACTTCCTCTCCTTTTCTTCCTTCATATGGACTGCCCATTGTGTTTAATCACTACCTTTTTTTAAAAACGTGGACCATTACTTATTGAAACTGCTGTGGGAAAAATAGCATCATATATTATATAGGGAGAAAGTTACTCCCCCTTTTTTGAATGGTTTCATTGTACAGTACCTCTCAGCACGATGGATCCGAACACATTGTAGCACAAGACAGGTTCCGTGCTGGGTAACGTGACTAATACGACACAGCCTGGTATATTATTAATTCCACATTTCACAGTATGTACGCTTCTGTTGGGAAGAGGAAATCTGTGGGCAATGCTGGGTAGATAATTAACAAGTAAAATAACATGCAAAGGGCTGTCTTAGCTCTTACCCTCCGAAGCAAACAACAGTTGTTCAGAACAGTTGTTATTTTTTTGGAGGGGAGGGAATAATGCACTTCTCCTGACAGGCAAGTGCAAAGTTTTGCTTAAACAAAGAGGAATGTAAAAATGAATTTGGGAGCCCCGAGAATTAGATCCGTCAAGTTAGGCAAGGCCAAATTGAAAGGCATTATTTGGAGATAAACAGCACGTGGATGCAGTGGCATCTGGACCATAAGAAACTTTGTGCAGTTTTGCAGCATTTTTGAATTTGTATAGCCATATCTCTCTGGCATTGTGGGATATTACACTTTACTGATAGCCTAAGCAAAACGGCATACACTCTTTATGATTATTTTTAGCTGTTGAGGTTTGGGCATTTGGTAAGTAGTTATGGAAATTGCCTTGCACAGCATATAGAAACACTTGAAAATAAGCATTTGGCATGGGGAAGGAAATCCTCTGCTCTCAGTGTTTGTACATGGTGCTGTTATTTTTAATTGCTATACTAGAAAAGACACTCATCAAATGACAGTAATGTGTAAGGAAAAATGGGCTATGAAGATGGGCTTTAGCAGAGCTGGTGAACAAGCAACAAATCTCATTTCCGTTTCCAGTTGATTGCTGGCTGTGCTCCACCAAGTTTTTCCTTGGCCTCTGCTGTCTCATTTTCTTGCCACACTTGTCTCTGTCCATTGCCTAATCTCCCTCCCTCCCATCCTCTCTTTAATCAGTCCCTCTTTCTTACATCCCCAAACCGGTCCTGCCCAAATTCCTTTGTCCTTGCTTCATGTAGAATCATAGAATCATAGAAATGGAGAGTTGGTAGGGACCACGAGGGTCATCTAGTCCAATGCAGGAATATTTCACCCAATGGCACCCACAGGAACTGGGTTGGAATATATATCTCTGTCCTTTTCCTTTTATTCTTACACTCACTCAGCAAAAGCCTATCTTTGCTATTTCCTGACATGTTCCCATTTGAAATTGTACAGGCATCTGGCAACATACATACATTCTTAATGTTTTTTTATTCTTTGTTTTTTTAAATCCAAATAATTTTTATTGGTTTTCTTGTAAATACAAGAACAACATATAACTACATTAACTTGTCCAGTGGTACATTCTTGAATAATGGACAGACTGCTTTCTTTGTTGATTTTGTCCCCCATTGTATGGTGAACCCCTAGATTAGGCATATTCAACATGGTTGTTGTTGGACTCCCAGCTCCCATCAGCCCCAGCCAATGATCAGAAGTTATAGGAACTGTAGTCCAAAAATAACAGTTCTTCCCTCTGCCATAGAGATAGTGTATTGCCCAAAACTGCATGTCCAAGATCTTGTTGTGCTGGCTCCCCCCCCCCCGCCACCGCCACTTGTCTCTACCCATAATCATTCCTGATCCTGGTTTCCCATGTTTGATTTACACATGCCATTGCTCTTTCCCAGGGACCTCTCTCATTCTCAGTATCTTCATTAGCACCTTCTCTGGACTTATATAAATCCACCAAGGATGCAGAAGTTCACACAATGAACAGTCAGGCTGGTGAAGTTAGGGCTGCCATATGTCCGGGATTTCCTGGACATAGGCAGGATTCGCCTGTAGGAAATAGTGTCTGGGCTAAATTTCCGAAAATCAGGAAAATGTCCAGAAAAACCTGGGCGCATGGCAACCAATGTCGGAATTTCCTTCAAAATAGCTCATAAACTTTGCCAAAAAATCTCAAGAACTTTTGTGTCCTGATTGTCACTTTTTGAAATATGGCAACTCTAGGTGAAATGCCATCTTGGGGCTGGGTAGGAAGTGGAGATGAGTTATATGACTTTGTTTAGTGACGTCTTCCCTTCAGAGAATTATATTCAGGTGCCTCTTCCCTATTTCTAGACAGTACTTTGAGTAAATATCATTTCCAATTAAGGGGAAAGGATGCAATGATTTATTTATTACAATATCAATATCCTACTTCGCCGTTAGATGCAGCCAACAACTCACAGGAAAAAGCAACGACGGAATAAAACTTAAAGCCAATAAAGCGTCTGATCTGCAACAGCAAATATCATTTAAAAGGCTTTTAAAAATCAAATACCATTTAAAAGCTTTACCTGCCGTCTAAACACAAACTGGGTTCTTGGCGAATGCCAAAGTGGGAAGAGTTCCAAAGTTGAGGTACTAGAACTTTTCATTTCTGGTCTTTGTTGCCACTCACTTCTGAAAGTGAGTCTTGGTGGCCCCTGAGTAAACCATCCAAAGAAGATATGAGGTCCTGAAAAGGATGGTGTACTGGTGGGTGATGTCACAAAAGCACTGAGCCTTGATGATCGGACAATCTGTGAAAGGAACGTTGGGATTGGTGTACTGGTGGGTGATGTCACAAAAGCACTGAGCCTTGATGATCAGACAATCTGTGAAAGGAACGTTGGGATTGGTGTACTGGTGGGTGATGTCACAAAAGCACTGAACCTTGATAATCAGACAATCTGTGAAAGGAACATTGGGATTGGTGTACTGGTTGGTGCACTGAGCCTCTGAGAGCAGGCAATTATCTGGTGGCTTGAGGGAGGTTTGTTTGCTGGAGAGTAGACCACTGCTAAGCCTTATGTATGTCTTAGGCTTTGTATGGTAGGTGTAAAAATTCCCCACTTGTAGGCTTTTCTCTAGTAATAAAAATGTCTTCAGCAGCAGGTATGATAAATTTCAGTCTATTGTGGTAATACCTCTACATTTTTTAAACACATTGGAGTCACATTAACCAAACTTTATCTCCCAAACCTCCTCCTTCCTCCACCAGCCTAGGTCCAAATTCACTTCGCCAGCTGCTTTACAGACGGAAGTTGTTGCAGTTCCCTTGTTCTCCCCTTCCCCTCTACACTCCTCTTCTTTGTTCCCTGATATCTAAGGCAAAATCTTTGCCCTCAAGAGCTAACAAGGACAACGTGAGAGATTTCCTTCCATCCCTTTTCATTTACAGTGGTACCTCGGGTTACAGACTCTTCAGATTACAGACGCTTCAGGTTACAGACTCCGCTAACCCAGAAATAGTACCTCAGGTTAAGAACTTTGCTTCAGGATGAGAACAGAAATCGTGCGGCGGCAGCAGGAGGCCCCATTAGCTAAAGTGGTGCTTCAGGTTAAAAACAGTTTCGGGTTAAGAACGGATCTCCGGAACAAATAAAGTTCTTAACCAGAGGTACCACTGTAATGGTGTGTTCTTGCAGTAGTCACCTTCAGAGCATTGCCATTTCTCCAGCTCAGTCTGTAGCATAAAGGAGGGAGGGGAGTGTTGGTTTGGGGGACCAGTGAGGTCTGAGTGGGCAAGAGGGGATTTATTTTGGGACTTGAATTAAAATCCAAGATGGAGAAGAAATTGTCTTAGGTAAGACAAGCATCATGAACGAGCTCCTGCGACGTGTGCTTCTGAGCCTAAAAAATATGAACCTCTTTGACATCACTAGTTTGTGTAAAAAAATAATTTTTTTCCTTAAATTCTCAGCTGAAGTAGATTCAGTGCTGGGGAAGACAATAGCTGTGTAGAAAAAGGCATTAGCTAGAAGCGTAATGCTGCAATAGAAGAATAAAACAGGTGAAATTCTCCCTGTGTAACCTTTAAATTCAGCATAACTATTGATGCCCCATGCTCAGTTAATACAGGATGAGATGGAACACATTTAAACAGAAGGAGAATTTGTGGTTGATATACAATACAGTGTCTGTGGAGATATAAGTAGGAGAACCATTTTAGAATATTGTAAAAAAGTGAATAAACGAAACTACCATCATTTATTCAAAAGCAATTTCTTCACTTTTTGTGCAGCACATAAAGATGTTGTCAGCAAGTTGGGATTTTTACAACATCCTTTAAACAGATCCTGAAGCTTGTTCTAGCAGTTTGAATAGTATTTTATTTTAGCACTAATATATGATATGCATTGAAATACCATAAGTCATCTTGAGCCTATGGGGTGGGACATGGAATAAATGCATATATTTACATCAGAGGTAGTGAATGTGCATAATTAAAAACCAAAAATAATATATATTTAAGAGCATTACTTGTGGTTAGCTGTGTGGCTCATACCATCACTATCACATTGCTTTTCAATTTTTTAGTTTAACAATGATTACATATTTTTGTCATACAAATGTCCTTACTAAGGTGATGTCAGATTGAATGAACAGAAGTAAGCAGCCCCCTCAATATGTTTTCAAATAGCAAGACCTAATTTAGGATACACCCCACCCACCTGTCAAAAAGGCCCAGTCTCCTGGCTAGATCCAGTTGCCCCCCCCCCTTGGGTTAGTATAATGTATTGAGAAATTCCTTGTTGGAAAGAGATATCATTTTACTATATTGTTTTGCTAGTCTGTATTACAGGGTTGTTGCCTTTGTAAGCATAGCTGTATTGTTTCAGAAAAGGGTTTTTTGGGGGGGGGCAGATGGTGACTCCAAAATGCACAGTATTTTTATTAGACCAGCCAAAGTTAGCAGCAGGCTCTTGGTTTCTCCAGAACTCTTCACTGGACAAGATATGACCTGAAACGAGAGGTTTAGCAATGAGGAAGAACCAAAACTGAATACAGTACTAATATGACTGCAGCTTTTAGACTCTGATCCAAGATGGAGATTGCAGACTGAATTGGGCCACTGGGTCACTCTCCCCTAAGCTCATTATAATCACCACTAGATTCCCTCAACCTGTGTTCTGACTCTTTTTTTACCCTTTGTCCCTTCTGCAATGCCTTCGCTCTTCTGTTGAGCAGCGCCTTAGCATGCAGCGAGTGTAACGCGAGAGAATTTTGGTACTGCAGCGAGTGCCAACAGGAACAGGTTTTACTTTACACTTGGCAGCAGCTCCTGGCACTGCTGCGGTGCAGATGGCAGCACATACGAGCGCGGTGCCTGAAGCAAGGACTGTCATGAGCTGCCTATAGCCTCCGGATTGTACCTTTGGCTACCCTTTTCCTTAACCAATAAAGAACTTAATGACATCCATAGGCTGCTGTTGCTGGGAATTGGTTTGCCCACTTACATGACACAAAGGGCCTCCTTGCCACTGGCTTTAGTTAGCCCCAGTCAATAGTTTTCGGTGGTCATGGTAGCTGAACAACCGTCACACCTCTAGCTACATCACAGTGCTGCCAGATGAAATGGGGAGGCTCAATATCCAATGCCTGGCAGTGTGGATATAGAAACACCCCATTCTGGCAGCTGCCTATCTGGTGCCTTTTCACACATAGCAAACTCGATGTATAAAAGAATCCTCTTTGAGGAAGGAATAATGTGTCGCTTTCTCAAAACATCTGCCTTTGTATAAACACATTGAATAAAAGTGTGATCCTTTTTAACAGTTCTGCTTTAACTTGGGTGGATGGCATTGGATTTGTCCTGATCATCAACATCTTTGGATGAGTGAAGATTTGGCAGGAGTTTAAGACATGCAGGGTATTTCTTGATTTGCTGCTGGGACATAGTCAGTGGCATAGCCTGGTAGGGGCCGCGGGAGCGGTTGCCCTGGGCGCAAAATTATCAGGGGTACAAAGTTTCAATACCCAGTGTTGCCTCAATACAGATGTGTGCTTCTGTGGTTGCGCTCTGTTGAAAACGTCTTCTCCGTGCAAACCAGGAAGTAAACTCTCCAGAAAACAGAATGACTCTTTTCTTATCTTTGCAGCTGCAATCTCCTAGGTGACATGGATGCTGTTAAGCAGTTGAATGTGCATGTGTACACCATCCATTTCCCTCCGTATAACCTCCACCATGCAGCCCTGGGCTCTGGCAACCCAAGTTATGTTAAATTTGGCTCCTCTGGAGTGATAAAGTGGGAAAAGGAGCCGAGAGGGAGGGCATGGTGAATGCAGTTTGTGGTTAGCAAGAGCCAATCTCCCTGTTGATCCAGCCAGTGAGCAAGACTGGTTGGGAAGTTTTTATAGGGCGTGACAGTCCTTCCTCCCTGCCATGATGCAGAGGAAGTCAGTGAATGCCCCACAATCTCACTGAACTGTCCAACCACCACCTAGGACTGCAAGTGCCACCAGTTGGGGAGCAGAGGATGGAACTGGTTGGCACCTGTGGGCTACTGATGGGTGCGGGTGGCGCTGTGGTCTAAACCACTGAGCCTCTTAGGCTTGACAATTGGAAGGTCGGCGGTTGAAATCCACGCGACGGAGCAAGCTCCCATTGCTCTGTCCTTGCTTCTGCCAACCAAGCAGTTCGAAAGCATGCCAATGCAAGTAGTTAAATAGGTACCTCTGCGGCAGGAAGGTAAATGGTGTTTCTGTGCGCTCTGGTATCTGTCATGGTGTTCCATTGCACCAGAAGCGGTTTAGTCATGACCTGGAAAGCTGTCTGTAGACAAACGCCAGCTCCCTTGGCCTGAAAGTGAGATGAGCGCCACAACCCCATGGTTGCCTTTGACTGGACTTAACCATCCAAGGGTCCTTTAACTTTACCTTTACCTTAACTGCAAGCCCATGGCACTGAGGAATTTCATCTCAGCCTTTCTTGCATCTAGTTATCCCAGTGCAAACCTTTTTCTTTTTTTCCGAGCTAACTTTTCCAGCACTGTATCAAGAACCTCTCCTAAGCACCAGCTTCAAAACAACTGTCAGGAGGAGGATAAATTCCATTGGCAGAGTGCCCAGGAAGAACCAGTGGATACAGAATCAAATGAAACAGCAGGATTAGAAATGCATTAAACAACTTCCAAGAAATGACTCTATCCTTATAATGATCAGAGAGTAGTGGTGGAATACCAATTCAAGATGCATATTCTGATCAGCTTTTTTAAAATCTTTTTTTTAAAAAAAATGCAGAAATGGAGCTGGTTTAGTAATGTCCATGAGGAGCTATACTGCTGGAGCACAAGCGTCGATGTAAAAAGAAAAATAAAGAGCTGTATAACTGACAACCATGTAATTTGATTATGTCGTGGCTGTGTAGTGCCATATAAAAGCATAAGATAAACACTACTTGAAAGCGGGGTGATGAGCTAGTGCTCACTTTAGACAACAACAGGAGGCTGTGAAGAAATGTAGCTGAAGGCCATTGGGGAACGTGAAGTATAGAAAGCACAAAGAATGAGCAGGCACTCGAAGTAGGAAGAAATGTTTTTAATTTTAAAATAGCCGGTTTTGCATTATGTGCAATAGAAATGCGAGAGGAAAGCAAATGCTAAGGGTGCTGGAATGTACATTGCTCTCTTAAACTTGGTCCTCTCAATAAATAATCTCTAGTGAGGGTTAATGAAAGGAGAGGAGATATGATAGCCATATTAAATAGCTAAAGGGTTGTCACATGGTAGATGGAGAA